GGGGGGTTGTAAATGAGATAAATCAAATGCAGCGAACTTACAGGTGGGCCTCCATTGGTGTCAGCTGTAGGACCATTACTGGTGGTAGTTTGTGGACCTTCTCTGCCACGTGTCTTTCTTTCAACTGGATGCCAAAAATATATATATATTATAAGATTTTTAAGTTAATATATCACATGTGCAAAGTGAGATGGCAAAACCAATATGTCTCAGTGAACAATTTCACCAAAGCTTCAACAGCACACGTATAATGCACACCCCCGGAAAGAAAGAAATTTCGTAAAAGAATTGGAGCTTCACAAGTCTGCAACGTCTAAACTTTTCTAATTAGTAGATTATTACTCTATATTCCAGGAAAAGATAAATTCATAGACATCACATGTATTTGATTAGCATAATTTAAACAAACAGCTGTCCACATACAGGCACGACAATTTTTCCATTGATTGCGGATTTCTTCTTCATTTTAAGGCTATACTGTCAATGATTTGTACCCATATCCACACAACACGAGTTCGTCTTTTAAAAAATGGCAACTCTCAAAGCTTCATACATGTCCCAAGCACTAGTTCACTAATTGAACAATTTATGTCTTGTCTGATATCATTTTCTATTGGTATAATGTATATTCTATCTTGATGCTTGCAAAATTTATGTAAACAAGTTTTGTTTATTACAGAAGTAGCTTACACTTGTTATGAAACATATGCCCCTTACCCGTATCCAAAGTCGACATTTTCTAATTGCATGACAATTTGCATGTCTGACATTGAGACCTATAACCCCGTTGGACCCATAACCAAAGTCCGAGAAACATAGTTTCAAGAAAATGCAATGTCATTGTGATGGTTTTTATGTTGGAAAGTGTAACCACATTTGCCACCCATGTAAAACTATTCAAGTATACACAAGGTATGTTGAATTTCAAGCATAGAAATATGGCGAAATATTGTGACAAAAAAAGAAATGGAGAACAGATTCAAACTTCCCAAAATGATGAAGAAAGTGTCTAGAAATACTTCAAAATGAAAAAAAATGCATTATAATACCCGCACCCGAATTTCCGGGTCTAATTATCAAAATTAAAGAATTTAGGGCTCATTTGAGGGTTAATCCACCTTTTAAGATCTTGTAGCAAACTTACCATAAGTGCTAATTCCCACATGTTTTTGATTAAATTATTGGTCAAACACTTACATAGAAAATTCTTGATTTATGCTTGATTGACCAAACATAAGGTAATGTGTAGTGTGAATGCATAAATGTAGGAATGATAGAGAAATTCTTGCTCATTGCACAAATTTCAAGGAGCAAATTACACCATCATGAATTTTTCCTTAAAGATGCATGCCTAATCTTGTCCTATTTAATCCTCTTATTCACATTCACATACTACCACTCACTAGTATATTTTTTTTAGTCCAAATAATACACACATACACATTCATAAGCCAAGGTGGAAATTGTAGAGGGATCAAGTCTCTATTACTCTTTCTTTCAAATTTCACTGCAAGTACGCTGCTTATGTTGAATTATTGTTATGTTATGAATTTCAAGAAAATTATTATGGGTCTCATATGTTATGATATGATTATGATTATGTTAAGGGGACCAGAGTTTAGTAGCGCTACACATAAGAATTCTTATCACCTATGTTCGGTAAAATTATTATGTCTCCATTATGTTGATTATGATTATTATGCACCTTTAAGTTATACACAATAATAATTCATGGCGTACTTATTGAGATTTTATAAATTTCACTCTATGATAATTCCCTCTTTCAGGCAATTAATGGTTCGAGGCAGTAAACGTGGAGATGCCAATGGGGCTAGGATTAATAAATTGAGTTGTGTTTAAAACACAACTTTGAATTTCAAATTTAGTTGTTATGTTAGAATTATTTTCTTTCTCTCATTCTTCACATCTACATGATAAAGCCAAAATTTATTTACTTATTGAAGAAAAATAAAATTATTTCATATTCTTATTTCAGTTCTTATGAAAGAATTAAGTTTTATTTAATAACTCTCAAATAGTCAAAAATTCGGGCTGTCACATGCATCAACTTTCCAAATTTGTGAGAGTCTCAAGCAACCTCAAGTACATCAAATGCCATCAAATCGGATTCTCTTTGGCGATCACTGGGCTTGAATAGCCCACTAGACTCAGAATTAATGTCCCACATCTAAAGAACTGACCAAAAATGTCTTATCATACCTATCTCTGGTCTCGAAAATTTCAAGCACTTCAAAAGTCATCAGCAGCATCAAACTACCAAGTCTTATGGGGGCAAATGAGTCATTTTGCATGTATATTAATGTGTATACTTTTGTTAAATGAATATCAAATGTTCAAAACCTTATAACCAGGTAACTGAACCATTATACATATAAAATATGCACACCCCTTTGAAAAGAATAACTAAAAGAAAGGAAGAAAGGGAGGAACAGAATGAGTAAGATGGAGATAATTTGACCTTTTTCCTCTTGCTTCTTTTTCTTGTCATAGGTACCCTCTGCTTTAGCAATGCAATCTGATTTTGTTTTGGAATATTGTATTCGCTGCCATCACGAAAATTAAAAAATAAAAATAAATAAATAAATAATAATAATAATATTAGAAACTCATAAATACAAATTTTAGTCTAAGAAATGTAACTCCAGAGCACATATATGTCAACAATGAGAAGTCAGAAGTAAGCAGGCACAACATGGAGAAACGCTTATGAAATTATAATTAAAAAACATGCCACAAACTCCACGTAAAGAATCCAGCTGGCATCTTTTTGAGAAAGAAGCGACTTTTATACACTGAATCTTTCATGTATCATGTATGCAAGTGTCATCAGAATCAGTCTAGTGAAGCATAAGGAATGACGATAATATGAAGTCGAACACACAAAGTACTAATGCAACAAATAAAATGACAAGTAAATTTTTAATCATGCCAACTACAGACCTAAAATTAATTTCATATAGATACTGAATTAAACATGAATACATGGTTTCTCCACAGAGAAAAGAATTCGGCCAACAGGCTGGATCCTCTTTTTCTTTCCCATCTGGTTTTTTTTTATAGGTCGGAAGGCAGACCAAAATGGAATAATAGAAATGAAATTTGAATTCGATCGAAAATGATCAACACCTTTAGCCCCTATTCGAGCCCAATTCTTTAAAAACTCATTTTTTATCTAACTCATTTTCAACCACACATTCTCTTAATAAAATAATTTTACATGTAAACCCAAAAATTTTCCTTATATTTTAACCACTTATGTTCCAAGAAATCACTATTACAAAATCTATTCTCCTAAAAAAATGAGGCTCAAACAAACCCTTAGGTTAATAAAGACTGTACAACAAGCAATGAACAGGAAAATCAATGAATTCTCTTTAACTTGTATCAAGAACCCAAAGAGGGAAAAGGGAAGAAGAACAGACGTACTTATATAGATAGCAAGTGGAACTATCTCCTAACAAAGTTAACTTACAATAAACATGTATCCAGTACATGCATAGATATGGTGCAACTCATTGTACCCACCATTGGTTTATCATAAAATGGGAAGTTTTGCATTTGTCGCACTGCATTGCTTGCAGCTGTCACTTCACTAAATACAACCCAAGCCTGTCCTCGAAGCTTGGGAGTTTTCAGTGCAACAATGTCCACAATTCTCCCATACTGTGAGAACAAGGCATAAAGAGATCTCTTCAACTCTGTACAACATATTAAAGACAAGAAAGAAAATCAACCTCAAAATCATTACACTTAGATATATGGAACAGACATCAACTGACTTGATCTGCTGGGGCAACAAATAAAGTAGACATCAAACATCCTTATCAAGATTGTCACAAGTGAGAAAGGGGAATGCCAAACCCACCAAGCACGAGCATGTCTAAAATGTTATAAGATGAAAGAAAGCCTACCAATTTTGAAGACTTACCTATCTCTAAATTGACTAAATGCCCAGAGAGATAGCAATTTCTAAATAATTAAAGGAAAGAGGTTCTAGAAAGAGATGATGGAAAAGGTTTAAGGAAAAGGTTAAATCACAAATATAAAGAAGAAAAAAAAACATAAATGCAATTATCATCTTGACAAAATGCTCTAATTTAAAGCATGTGAATCTGCCTCCTAAAAAAGTTAATTTACAATAGACATGTATCCATTTCATGCATACATATGCGATAGAACTTATACCAACATATCTAAAAAAACTTCGAGCCCTGTGCATAAAGAATAAAAACATAAAATAGCACACAAAGGTAATAAAATGCAAAATCAAAATGGTAAGAGATGATCTAAAGAAGATGATATAATGCTATTATCAAAATTACATTTCATTTCCATGAACCCTGTGTCATGTTCCAGAAAGGCCTCACACTAGCTTGATCTCACGGTAAAACAAGATAATTTATCAGTTGTATGTGTGACCATAAGGATCAGACCATTATTTATAAATAGTAATTTGACAGATAGATTGAAATTTCTATTAGTTCAAGCTACCCCATCGCTATGCTTCTGAATGATGGTTTACCGATATTGTGTTTGGCGGCAAGGAATTTCCAATTTTGGGCCTTGGGATGGAAACCAGAAAATCATGATCCTGATTTTGAAAGTGAGTTTTCCAATACAACTTCCAAGAGGCCAATTCCACATCTAAAACAAAAGTGCCGGAAAAACATGAAACTCTATCCACTCGATGAGAAAATGCAGGAAGGAGAAATTATCATTCTTAATCAAATGAAATAGCAATTACACCTGAGAATCATAAGTCATACACGAAACCCAGAAGCTTCAGTTGCACCTCATTCAAGCTGATACAAACCCCAAGTAATGAATTTTAAATTATAATAGCCAGGAACACATATAACATTTTACCCCCCAAGATTTGATACAAAACTTTCACAGCCCAAAATCCAGAACTTTACAACGAAAAAAATAAACACTCATAGTTACCGGTACAACGCCGACAGTAAAATTGCAATGAAGGCGAGAAATCCCATTACAGGGAATAAAAGCCAAAAACAATATATGAAACTAAAGCTTAACCAAAGTATTGATAAAAAATATCTGACCAATTACGTTCATAAAAATTCTAAAACTTTATAACACTAACTATGAAAATATGGAGTAAAATAACAAGCTAAAATAGCAAAACGGTGAAAAAAATAACCTTCTTTCTTGACTTTCTCATTTAAGTTCTTTATGTATATAGTCTGGTTCGGTGGTATGTCACCTGTAAGCATTGTTGCTAAGCGAACACAGATTGCTGCTTTGCGAAAGCTAGGGTTTGTGTGTGAGGAAGACAGGAAAGACGGGGCTCAGGACTAAAGTGAAGAAAATAAAAATATTTGAAAATTTGGTTGCACGTTTCGCTAAAGCCCAGGGGGCTGTATTCGTTTGTAATTTTTAAGTAATTTTGAAGATAAAGTCTCCACTTAGTGTCGATTAAAATCTAAATTTTAATTTAAGTAAAATTCCACAATTTATTTCAATCACATATTTTATCAATTTAACATTTCAATCACAAATTTTATTAATTTTTATCAAAATTTACTAAAAATCTGATTTTAATTCCTACCAAACAGGGGCTTAGTATTTTTTTAATGATGTAATATATGTATTTTGAATAATTGCCTTTCGACAAACTTGTCAAAATTTTATTGCAGATTCTAGATTCTGTGTATACTTATGCTCCATATTATTGAACTTTTGAGTGTTTTCACACCCATAGTTGTTAAAATTATCCGTAATAGGCTAATTGTTAGTGAAGAGTCATTGGGGCTGAATCAGATAGTTTTTGAAGAGCCAATTTGGTTTCTCTCTGTTTCTTACTCTCATAGATGACTTGATTGCAGGATGCATTTGATTTATGGGATACTTATGGCTTTCCATTGGACCTAACTCAGGTGAATGTATCATCATTACTTACACGCAAGCATACTAACTTATATGATAGTTTGACTGACATCTCTCTTTGACAGTTGATGGCAGAAGAAAGAGGCTTGGCTGTTGACATTGAAGGCTTCAATATAGCTATGGATAAGGCAAGGGAAAGATCAAGGAGTGCGCAGAATAAGGTAACTGGATTTGTGTTTCTTCATTTTTATCTTTTATTTAGCATAGTCACACTCCAAGTTTATAGGGAACGAGGCCCAGGAGCGATATCCGGAGTTATTCACCCAGTGTTATCCTTGATGTATGAAGCTAAAATATTTGGTCCTACAAACTTTAGATGAGACTAACAGGATTATTGGATAAGTTTTAAAATTTTATGAATAACTAAATAATTTTGGGGATAAAGTAGTTTAGAAAGAAGCTTGGGTTAGTTTAATTTATTTATAAATCAAGACAAACGTGCTCTTAATCTGCGACTGGTGCTTGCTAACATTTTTTTGGGTTTGCAAATCTAATTTTCTCAGCAAGCTGGTGGTACTGTAGTCATGGATGCTGATGCTACTGCTGCCTTGCACAAGAAAGGCGTTGCCCCGACAGATGATTCATTTAAGTTTACTTGGTTTGAGGTTTGTGTGTGAATTTGTTTGGTGGATTTTTCATGGCTTAGTTATGATGATTTTCTTCTATCTTCTTTAGGGTTATTGTTTTTGAAATTTGAACTTTTATAATTTGGTTCAAGATTCTCAATCTGCCTCAAATGTTTAATAGATTGCTATGGTTTTGTTTATGATTATGCTAGGGGCCTACAAAAATGACTTTCATTCTGTTTTGAAGACGGTCACCTCCCTGTTGCTCGGATACATTTTTTTTTTCAATTAGCTCTCCCTTTTGGTGCCTTGTCAGGAAAACTTTTTGATGTGAAACTAACTCTGGAAACTGCCCTGACATGCTTGCATGATTGCCGTAAAAAAGAGAACCCATAACAGTGAGCAACTTAGAGATTTAAAAATCCAACTGCATGAAACTTTTGCTTAATATTGGAAGTGTATCCTGAAGCATTATTAATTGAACCACGCTCATATTGAAGGCAGCAAGGATTCCTCAGCACTGACATTAATTCACTACTAATATAGGTTTAAGATCGGTTGCTGGAGGTTGGGAAACAAATTTCAGGGTATGGCTGGATCCATTTCTTTGGGAGTTGAAGTGGTTATATAGTCTCAGTTGATCATTTAGATGGGTAAAATACGAATTTAGGTTGACCTAATTACTCCACTCCAATTTGGATAGGAAATAAACTATATGGCTTAAAAAGTTGGCCTACCATTGTGTTTTCTATATGGAGATAAACAATTAGCAAAGTCTGCGCACAAAAAAAAAGGCACTTTTTGCTGCCATTTGGAGTATGTTGCTTCAGTTTAATAGAAAAGGCTTCGAGCTCTAGATCAGTATTTTTTGGTCATAGGATCTCGCAGTTAAGTAGAGTTTGGTGGTTTGTGTGAGAATCCAAGAGGCCAATTCCACATCTAAAACAAAAGTGCCGGAAAAACATGAAACTCTATCCACTCGATGAGAAAATGCAGGAAGGAGAAATTATCATTCTTAATCAAATGAAATAGCAATTACACCTGAGAATCATAAGTCATACACGAAACCCAGAAGCTTCAGTTGCACCTCATTCAAGCTGATACAAACCCCAAGTAATGAATTTTAAATTATAATAGCCAGGAACACATATAACATTTTACCCCCCAAGATTTGATACAAAACTTTCACAGCCCAAAATCCAGAACTTTACAACGAAAAAAATAAACACTCATAGTTACCGGTACAACGCCGACAGTAAAATTGCAATGAAGGCGAGAAATCCCATTACAGGGAATAAAAGCCAAAAACAATATATGAAACTAAAGCTTAACCAAAGTATTGATAAAAAATATCTGACCAATTACGTTCATAAAAATTCTAAAACTTTATAACACTAACTATGAAAATATGGAGTAAAATAACAAGCTAAAATAGCAAAACGGTGAAAAAAATAACCTTCTTTCTTGACTTTCTCATTTAAGTTCTTTATGTATATAGTCTGGTTCGGTGGTATGTCACCTGTAAGCATTGTTGCTAAGCGAACACAGATTGCTGCTTTGCGAAAGCTAGGGTTTGTGTGTGAGGAAGACAGGAAAGACGGGGCTCAGGACTAAAGTGAAGAAAATAAAAATATTTGAAAATTTGGTTGCACGTTTCGCTAAAGCCCAGGGGGCTGTATTCGTTTGTAATTTTTAAGTAATTTTGAAGATAAAGTCTCCACTTAGTGTCGATTAAAATCTAAATTTTAATTTAAGTAAAATTCCACAATTTATTTCAATCACATATTTTATCAATTTAACATTTCAATCACAAATTTTATTAATTTTTATCAAAATTTACTAAAAATCTGATTTTAATTCCTACCAAACAGGGGCTTAAATAGTTGAGGTGTATTTGAAACTTTTAAAAATTCTCTAAAAGTTTAGGTGTATACAATTGGGATGTCTGAGGACTTTTCAAAGTCCCTAAAAGTTATAGAGTATTCAATCGAAATTTTTCAAAAGTCTCTATAAATTATGAGGTGTTCAAATAAATCGCGACTTTAAGAAAATTCTCTATTTATTGGACTTTTTGGTAAAAATATAAATAGCAAATTTCAAAGAAAATTTCTCATATACTTTGAGATTTCTCTGAGATTTGTGAAATTTTAGAGCCGAAAAAATTTTCTTTTTTATTTCAATTCTATAATTTTTTTTCACTTCTCTTCAATTAATTTATTGTAATTAATTTCTAATTATTCTATACGTATAATTACTTTTGAATTGAAATTATATGTAATTGATTCAAAAAGAATTTCATGTAATCAATCTATCCTCTCTTTCTTTTTTTGGAACAATTTTTGTCCTTAGAATTTATTTTAATTTCGTGAAAAATGATCGGTTATATTCTTAGAAATTGATGTAAAAGGTATTATTATTTTATTTGAGTCAAAATTGAATGACTAGGCCATGGCTAGTGACTTTAACCGATAAAATTATATGAACATCACGGTTCTCGAAAATATTAATTAGATAGTAAGAAGGATTATAGTTTCTCAAGTATGTGGTGAATTTGCAAGAGAAAAAATCCTTAAAATCGTTAATCAAAGTTAAAAGAAATCCATGGAAGATTTTAATAATTCTTAACAAACCCATACAAGTTACTTAATAATCCATAAAATTCACAAAAGTCACCCACTTAAAAAATTCATAGAAGTATTTAAAAGTCCCAATTGGATAAACCACTCATTAAAATGTTTTGGAGCAAATTTATTGAAAACCATTACCCTGATTATTTGAAGTTTTAATGGTGGGATTTTTTTTATTTTTTATATTTATGAAGAATGCGTGGTTAAGAAATAAAGGAAAACGAGTTGGGATCACGTGTTATATTATTTTATTGAAAAATATGCTTTTGATAAAAAGAGAGAGAAAAATGAGTTGTAATTTTAATATGACCAAAATAGGGCATAAATGCAAATTTGAAATAAATAATATTTCAAAGCCAAAGCCGATGAAGGTTGAAAACATGTAAATAATTTAAAAGTAACTTTTTTAACTCAAAAGTAGTTTTTTTTTTTTTTTTTTTATACTTAAAATGAATATAAGTCCCTATTTGGTGGCCATTCTTTTCCAAAAACGAAAAAAAAAGTAAAGAATGAAAGAATGAAATTAGTTTTGAATAGTATTTTCTACAAGAATACGTGGTTAAAAAGCGCAAAAAAAAAAAAAAGAGTTTATGCGTAGAATATTACATTATTGTGTAATTAAAAATGATAGAAAAATAGGTAATTAGCACAAAATGTCGATATCTTTCAATGTTATTGTGTAAAATGTTCATACTTTTCATTTTTTAACATTTTCACCCTTATTTCAACGTTTCATCTCAGAAAACGTCATTTTCACCATTTTTTTAATGTAAAATGACCAAAATACCCTCCCATTTAAATAAAACAAAAAAAGAAAGAAAAGAAAAATAAAGAATAAATTACAATCTTACTCCTAAATGTTTTAAAAAGTACAAATGAGTTCAAATAATTATTAAAAGCTTAATAGCACAAAATGTTCATACGTTTGACCTATACTGTGCAAAATGTTCATACGTTTCAAATTGGTGAAAATAATATTTTCCGCAATGAAACGTGGAAATAGGAATGAAAATGCAAAAAAAAAATATATATATATATAAGGACATTTTCCACAATAAGTGTCAAAGGTATGGGTTTTTTTTTTGCTATTATGTCTTATTAAAATATTAAAAATATATAAATTAAAAAAAAAAAACCTCACTCTCTTCTCTTCTTTTCCAAATGGGTCAACCACCTTAGAAGCTAAAAAACTCCAGCAAACTACCATCCAAACTGCTGGACTACCATATCACCAAAAAGTCCTCACTTTCATCTACACATGCCTACATTTAAAAAATAGTGAAAATGACATTTTCTGTAATGAAAAACGTTGAAATAAGGACGAAAATGTCAAAAAATGAAAGGTATAAAAGTTTTACACAATAACATTGAACGTTAAGAACCTTTTGTGCTAATTACCCATAAAAAAAATAGTTTTAAAAATATGGAAATCAAAGCTCAACTTTGTTGTCTCGGGCTTACTTTCTCGATACACGTTCTAACAATGACGCACATCACCTATTTTTAGCAAATGGGAAGGCTCCAACATACTTTTTCACCTCCGTATTGTATAAATCTTCCCTTTTTGATGTAGGAGAATCCTTATAAATAGGATACAAGTTGCTTAGCCCTTGTTTGAGTCCATTTGTGTCATAAAAATACATTTTTAAATAATGTATTGATGAAAAATATGTTGTTAAAAAATTTTAAAAAAATAGATTTTTGTTTAATATTATTTTATTGAAGAATGTGTAGTTGAAATGATGTCAAAACAATGTTTAAGAATATATTTTTTTTAAAGAATGTGGCTCAAACAAAGGCTTAGTTTATATTTGATTTTTGATTAAAAATAAATCAATTTTAAATAGATTTTAATAAAAGTTGTAAATTTCATAAACAATGGTTTGAAAATGAGCTGTTTGGGCTCCAATTTTTACAAAAATATATTTTTCTCTCTTATTTTCAATCACATATTTTTCACTGAAATAATATTACATATAAATTAAAAACTTTTCCTTATTACTTAACCACACATTCTCTAAAAAATTACTAATTCAAAATACATATTTCCTCCAATTCCCATTAAAATGGAATCCAAATAGCTCCTAGTTTGATGGTTTTAAAAAAATTGGGATGGCGAAGGGGTCAAATATTAGCTTTTGCTATTATTTTAGGTTTTTAATTTTATTGTTTCCTTCCAGCATCTCCTGCATTATAGGGAGCATCTTAAATCTAGAGAGTTAATTTTTTTAAACACTCCAACAGTATTCTCTATTTTGATTTTTTATGTTGATTTTTTCGGAAACATTTATTGGATTCTCCATATTTTATTTAACATAATTTATTATATGTCAATGATCAATCAATTTAAATATGATTTAAATAGTTTAAAAAGATGAATATTGAAATATGTGGCTTTTTAAATGTAATTATTGTTAATTAAGAATAAAGAGTGAGTCAAAC